CTTGCTTAGATGTAGATGCTTTGAACTGTCCGGCTTAGAACGATCATGGATCGCGCACATCTTTCTATTTTGCCTCATGCACAGCTCGTCTCGTCTCGGGCCACTGGATGTGCAGGTGACAACTGCCAGCGCAGCTTCGGCGGCTGGGATGGAAAGGGTGAGACAGCTTAGTCTAAACCTTGCTGCGGGAACTAAACCACAAACTAAACCCTGAGCCCTAACCCCGTCAAAGCTCCTAAAGACCGCTGAACCCTAAACCCCCTAAAATCGTCAAGCCCGGCACGTCTGGGGCCCACATTCGGAATCGCTTTCCGAAGTCTCCGCTTGGCCTCCGGGAACTCACGTCCAGCCCTTGGCCCAAAGAGGACTGGAAAATTGGGATTGTTAAGGATTTTAAGGTTTTGGGCGTCGGGGTTGCAGGGTTCAGGGTTTACGGCTTGATACGCATCATTACGTGTAGCAGCGATACTACAACTGCTGTCTTGAGGCTATACTTGCGGTCAGTGGCACCATGACCATGTTTAAATTGGTGAGCCAGATAACGAGCAGTGTTTAGTATCGACACTGTATTTGTGCTATAGCCGGGCTGCCAATGATAGGCTCGATCATGTGCTTGTACTTGTCACTGCTACGAGTCAGGCTACGAGATGGAGTTTGACAAACCCTAGATCCTGAACCCCCAGGCTTAAAACGCCAAGCAGCAAACCCTGAACTCTAAAACCTAAGCCACACAACTACAGACAACTTGAGGAACGAGCCCAAAGGTGCGGGGCTTGCAGCTCGGGCCCCTACCTTCTTGAGCTTTTTGACAGCTGTTGCAGCTTCCTGTCGTGTTTAGGGTTTTGGGTTTAGGTGGTGGTAGTAGTAGTAGTAGTAGTAGCCGTAATACTAGTAGTATTAGTAGTACTAGTAGTACTAGTAGTACTAGTAGTACTAGTAGTACTAGTAGTACTTGTTGTACTAGTAGTTCTCGTAGTACTAGTAGTACTAGTAGTACTAGTAGTACTAGTAGAGTACTAGTAGTAGCCGCAGTACTAGTAGTACTAGTAGTACTAGCACTACTAGTAGTAATAGTAGTAATAGTAGTAATAGTAAAAGACATGATAATAATAACAATAACAATATGTAAAAATAATAGTAATAAGGCCATACTTTTCAACCGGGGGGGTCCAAACCTCATTGCGCTTGCTGCTCTCTCCTTGCAGCATGTCGTTGCTCGGCTCAAGCTGTTTTGTTTTGGGGGTCGGAATAATTACCAAGACTATTTGGGGGTTCCTTATTATATTTATAGTAGTATATACCTCAAAACCTTGTTCTAATTATTAAGGCCCCTACATTAGCCAAGAATCCCGACGAAGACTTCAATGCTTAGAACATCGTTGAACAGATTTCTGTAGCCGATTAGAGCCAGTGATGTCATCATCAGCATATTTTAAGCACACGGTTGCAATCCTGGGGTTTCTGATAAATCACCTCTGTTGCGATTGCTTCCGCTCAGTCGCTAGGACAGGAGAGCCCTGGATTGCGAGAAGCCTGTTACCCTGCAACATGGGAGTCTGAACACTTCGTGGTACTATTCCTCCCTAAACCCTCAACCCTCAAGCCCTAAACCCTTATAGTACTATTCCTTAATTTAACTTTCAGTTGATAGCTCGTTTCTGCACCGACCTTTAACCTCGTTCTGACTATTCGGCTATATATTACCCAAGTGTTGCTGTCGGTAGCAACCCGCAAACGCTGAACACCCACAGCTCGTGCTTTTGCCCTTGCTAGACCCTAACCCACCCATATATAGAACCCTTAAAGTACCCGTATGGAAACCCTGTTATAGACGCCTTGAAAGATCCTGTTAAGGAGCCCCAAAAAAAGGAACTACCCATATGTCCTTTTAAGGAACCCGAAAAAGGTTGCCCTAAACCCTAAACCCCTAAACCCTAATTCCCTAAACCCTAAACCCTAACTCCCTGATTTAGAGACGCACCCAGATGTCCCTTGCGCGGCGAGTGCTGAGAGAGAAAAGCCTGCGCTTCCGGCCGAAGCAGCTCTGCCCGGCGGTGGTCGAGGAGGCCCTGTTTTGAATTTTGGGGGCTAAACCCTAAACTAAAAGCCTAAACCCTAAATAGACCCTTAAACCCTAAACCCCTAAGCCCTAAACCCTATGGTTTAGGAGTTTAGGGGCTTGGATTTTAGGGTTTTGGGGTTTAAGGTCGGGGTTTAGGGATTGGGGGTTCTCCTGTTTTTGCGGGTTTGAGGCTTAAGGTTTAGGGTAGTCAGAGTTTAGGGTTTTCCAGTGTTACCCCATAGTAGCCCCTAAACCCTAAACCCTAAATCCTAAACCCTTTAGGTTCCTGAGTAATACCCTTTTGCCCTTGTTATTTGGGGGGGTCTCCTTATTAAAGCCGAATATTAGGAAAAAGGGCACCCTTATTATTAAGGGGTCACTCAGGAACCTAGCTTATAACACCCTTATAGAAACCCTATAGAAACCCTTTAAAGATCCCGTTAAGGAACCCTAAAACGGGGAACCTATTTTCGAGAACTACCCATATTCGTTACTGGTGAACCTAGCCCTAAACCCAGCCCTTTCGAGTGCAGGAATCGAGCTTACGAAACCCTGCATCGTGAAGCCCCGGATCGAGCCGTGGTTTAGGGTTTAGGGTTCAAGGATTCGGGTTTCGGGTTTAGGGTTTAAGGCCTAGGGTTTAGGGTTTAGGGGTTTAGGGTTTAGGGTTTATATAGGCTTTCGGCTAGGTTTTGCGGTTTGGGGTTGCAAGTGAGAAACTCGAACTTTTCGGGCAGTCGGAAGAAACCTACTAAGAATGTTTTGCAAGAATGACAGGACATGTAAATGTTAACATGTCCCAAGACCCTACCAAACTTGCTAAGGCCACTAGAATGATAGTAGAGCCCCTTGTTTACAAGTCTCTCTTTTTGGCGCGCTGAGGTCCTTTCTGGCGTGCGAGGCTCGCAGTACTTCGGTAGGAACCGAGGCTCCCACGACGCTGGGCGAAGATCTTAGTAGCTGAATACACTAGGGTTTAGGGTTTAGGGTGAACTTTTTGACATAGTATGATCCCCCTATAGAACTGAAAGTTGCACACTTTTTTTTATGCTTATGAGCTCAGCAACTAAGAGATCATTCAGTTATGCTCCTGTATAGGATGGGTTTAGGGTTTATGTTGGGTTGCGCTAAACCCCGAAACCCCTAAACCCCGAAACCCTAAACCCCTACACCCCTAAACCCTAAACTCCGAAACCTCTAAACCCTTGAGGGCTTTTTTTGAAGATCCGTAGAAAAAGGGCCTGAGGGTTTTGGAGGTTTCGGGTGCAGGGTCGTCCATTTTGGATTTGAGGTCCCCTTGGGGCCCGGCTACCAACAAAAAACGGCTATGCTAGGGTTTACGGTTTAGGGTTGTAAACACGGAGCTCCGAACGCTAAACCCCTGACGCCAAGTCGTGCTCATACTACTTGCTCAATGCTGGAAACTCTAATACTCCAATGGCCTTCATGCGGGGCGACAGCCTGCGAGCTTCTGTGCATACGGTTCAGGCTTCCGCAACCCAGAGAACCCAATACCCCTTAATGAAGGAATATACCTTACATCTGAACATTAAGGCCCCTATAAATTTAAGGCATGTTCCTGAATTAAGGGGTATTGGGCTCTCTGGGGAAGACTCCCAGACTCCTCAGATAAGGAACATACACATATATATATATAGAGATAGAGATAGCTTAATTCTTTTTCGGGTTTTTAAAACTGCATTTTGAGGCACATTCCTGGATTAAGGCGTTTTGGAGTCTCTGGGTCAGGGTGTGGGAGTTATAAACCGCTTCGTGCATATGACCTGGCAGTCTAAGGACTTCTATCGCAACACACTTGGGTTCAGCCTAGCTTTTCGCAGCTCGCATCGAACGCGAGTGGAGGCCTGATCCAACTTAGATTGACATTACACCCCAACACCAAAAATCCTGAAGTCAGAAAATTCAACACATCTTGCTCTCTGATCCCGTGCTGTCTAGGGATACCCCTTAAACCCTAATTAACCCAAAGCCCATAAACCCTAAACCCCTAAGCACTAAGCCTTAAACCCTAAACCCTGGGCCTTAAACCCTCAACCTACCCGAAAACCCAAAGCCTTAAACCCTAAACCCTAAACATTAAACCCTAAACCCCCTTAAAACCTAAACCCTAAACCCTAGACCTTAAACCCTAAACCCCCTTAAACCCTAAACCTTAAACCTCTAAACCCCATTATATAAACCCTAAACCCTGTGTATTGGGCTCCTTTGTTTAGGTTTAGACCTCGCAAGCAAGGTCTCGGGGTTTGGGCCGGGAGTCTTTTCTCAGGCGTTTAGGGGTTTAGGATTTAGGGTTTAGGGTTCCTAAGACAGCCCATGGGAGAACTTTAAACTTTTTGGCCTTATATATTAGGTCCATCCTAAAAAGTTTGACCGTTTTTGGGCCTGGTTGTTGAGGAAGAGAGTTTTGGATTGAGAAGCAGGACAATCAGAGATGCTAACGCGGTTTAGGGTTTAGGGCTTGTAGGGTTTTAGGGTTTAGGGTTTGTAGGGTTTAGGGTTTGGGGTTTTTGTTTTGTAGTGTTTTAGGGTTTAGGGTTTGTAGGGTTTAGGAACCCTTCCCGTGGCAGTCCCGCAGACGAAGTTTCCCAAGTCTAGCAGTAAAAGACTGTGTGCATGCATATATACATACAGATATCTAGATGGATACCCAGACATACATATATATATATATACATATATATATATACATATATATATGTATATATATATATATGCATAGGAATTGTGGTATTGTAATTCCGTCCAGTCATAGAAGGACTATAGCATCGAGCGTAAGCTGCAGGCCTTCAGAAGTGGACTAGTTTCGACTGCGGTTTAAAGCTTCATAAATCCCTCTCCTCTCAAGAAAATGTGAAGTGAGGAGGACACGTGTAGTGGGGGTTTTGCCGGGTTGAGGGTTCAAATTGCACGTGTAGCCATGAACTTTTCCTTAGTACAGAAAACCGAAATGTTCTCAGAGTTTAACTTGCATTTTCTTCGGGTAAACAATTTTCTCCGATACTGCATGACCACCAGAGAACTAGTTTATCGGGATCACTGTGAGGCTCACCTGCCGTTCTTGCGGCCTCTGTTGGAAGTCATGCTGCAGCCAGAATGCAACTGTTTCTTCCTGACGCTCTTGGGAGCCCGACCAGACGGTCAGAGATACCATACCGATTCCCGGCGCAATGGGCCCTGAACCCGAAACCCTAAACCCTAAACCCTAATGGGTCGTTGCCCCTTCAGGGTATATTGGGTTCAAGGGTTGAGTTTCGATGGTAGATTTGGGATATCTGGTTCAACGTGGTCGCTTGCGTTTAGGCCTTTAGTGATTTTGGGTTGAGGGTTTAGGGTTTAGGGTTTAGGTTAGTGTTTGTGCTGTGCTCGTCGATCTGTCTCGTTGTAGTCCCAGTGGTAGGGTAGGTAACCTTTTGGTAGGTAAGCTTTTATCCTTTAATTATACTATGATCCCTATCTTTAGGGTTTAGGGTCTGGGATTTAGGGGGTGGGGTTTGGGGTTTAGGGTTTCTGGACCAGGATAACTATTTTGAAAATTATTGCGGCGGCCCGCGCCCAAGCGACCTGGTCTCCGTGGCCTACTTGGAAGCCGACGAGGCAGTTTGGCTGGCGTTCTTGTCCATGGCTTCCCGAACTGCATACTGGAGCTCGATACAAACCCCTAAACCCTAAACCCCTAAACCCTAAGCCGCTAAACCCCTAAACCCTAAACCCTACACCCCTAAACCCTATGCTACAAATTGGCGTCAAAGTGGTTTCATCTAGCCCTCCAAGCCGGCCCCGAGCCGACACCCAAACCGAAATCGCAAATTGTAAGGGTTTAGGGTGTAGGGTTTAGGGTCGTTGTTGTTGTGGGTATAGGTTTAGGGTTTAAGACCCTGAACCCAAGCAACACCGATCCCCAACCGAAGCACACCAACACTGCAGACATCCTCAAACACCGAAGCCTTGACGAGTTGAAATGCCAATCTGAGCCGACCCTTTAGAGCATGCACCTAAAAAGCCCTAAGTCCTAAGCCCTAAACTCCCTAAACGCCCTTTAACCCGAAAGTCAAACCAGAAATACCGAAAGCAACCGATCCGGGTCGTCCCTGATAGAAACCTTCTTGCACCCTTGTCGAACCTTGTAGAAGCCTCAACGAAGTCTTAGATTCCCCTAACCCCTGCACCCTGCTAACCCTAAGTCACCCCTAATTTGGGTTTAGCAAACCAAAGAGCCCTAAACCCTAAGTCACCCTAAAGAGCCTTAATTCCTAAACCCTAAACCCTAAGTCACCCTGAAACCAAAGAGCCCCAAACCCTAAGTCACCCTGAAACCAAAGAGACCCTAAGTCACCCTGAAACCAAAGAGCCCCAAACCCTGCACCCTTAAACCTTAAGCCGCCCTGAGCTCGCCAAAGAGGCTATGGTTGGTGGCGAGCTCGTGGTTCTCAAGGTGCCCACGAGGGGGCTTCTAGTCTCATCCGGTTGATGATATAAATCCTGCATTACTCCCATCATAAGGATTCTACCAGACTTCCCATAGTTTAGGGTCCTTTAGGAAACGCAGGATTTATATCATCAACAGTAGGTTTCATTCAGGTTTCAGGCTGAACTGTGCCTTAATACCAAATATTTTACCTCTGCAATGACTGCTACAAGGAAGTGATAACAAGGAGCCCTAACCAGGTAGGTTTTAGAGGGTTCAGGTAGGTTCTGCAGGGTTTTGGGGTTTGGGGTCCTGCAGCTGCTCTCATGCGGTTTTTTGGACATAGAATTCTTGGAAGGTTGCTGCAAGGGTGTTATAGGGTTGCGGGGTTTCGTGAATTGTTTACAGGGTTTTGTGGGGAAATTTAGGTGTAGGGGCATTATTATCCAGATAACCCAGTACCCCTTCATCAGGAAGTATACCTGACATCATCTTTTTATGGTCCCGATAATTTGAGGTATATTCCTTGATTAAGGGGTATTGGGATCCTTGTGTATCCATATACCCTGAACCCCTAAACCCTAAGCCCTAAACCCTAAACCCTAGACTCTAAACCCTAGACCCTAAACCCTAAACCCTATACAGTAGAAGCCCAAAAGTTGGAAACCCAATAGCCGCAATCCTAAAGAGCGATGCAGGGAATCCCAGCACTAGTTGACTTTGATCCGGTTTCCAACTTTTTGGGGGTTACTGTAGACCCTAAACCGGAAGAGAGCCTGGAGAACCCTTTATGTTCCTGGCGAGAACCTGCAAGCCCTGCCAGGACCCTCGAAAACCTGTCTGTTTTTGGGGTTGCTTAGTGTTTTTTTGGTTGAGGGTTTCGGGTTTGCTTATTATGCCCTTGTGGTTTAGGGTTTGCTTATTATGCCTGTTTGGTTTAGAGGTTTAGGGTTTGCTTACTATGTCTTTTGGTTTAGGGTGCAGGATTTGCTTATTATGCCTGTTTGGTTTAGGGTTTAGGGTTTGCTTATTATGCCTGTTTGGTTTAGGCTCTAGGGTTTGCTTATTATACCTGTTTGGTTTAGGATTTAGGCTGCTAGGGTTTGCTTCTTATGACTTGTTGGTTTAGGGTTTAGGGTTTTCCTCGTACAGTTCCTCAAAACGACAGGTTTGTTTGATTAGGGTAAGACCTAAGTACCACGATCCATACAGCCCTAAACGCCAAACTCCATACAGCCCTAAACTGTTCAGGTCTCGGCTGACGAGACGGGCCCAGTTCGTCACGGAAGTGAAGCAGAGGGACAGGCGGATCTCTGCTGCCCTTGGGTTTCATGGTTTTGGGTTTGGTGTGGACGGACAAAATTCGCGTCCTGCATATAACCGTAAGCACCCTCAACGCGAATTTTCTTTTCCGGATCCGGATCATGCAAAGCTGTGCATCAGCAGTGTGGATTACTTGTTTTCGATGCCAAAATATCTCCATTCAGCGTTCCTGTATAGCTATACTATACTACACCNNCCCCCCCCCCCCCCCCCCCACGATCTGTTGTAAGCATGAGGATTCTAAATGCCACATTCAGTGATTTTTTCTAGGACCAGGAAAAGAACATAGAACTTGGAGAGTCTTACTTTAACTACCACGGCCCGATTGTTCTGCTGATGGAGGCTCAAATCTTGCACCCAACCCAATGCCCAGAAGCCCTTTGAACCTAATCGTGATAGCCTCGGCCATGGAATTACCACATTTTCGCAGGGATTTTATGATACACTTACTAAACTCTATAAGCCCTATACGCCC